AGGTGAATGTAATTGGAGTGACTCCCTAAATTTAAAGTTAAAATGTAAATCCATCAGTCTCACTGTGGCCCTCAGAAAGATCTCTCTGAGCACCTTGTCTAATTCACTGCTTAAGAAGCTGTGCTATGGTGAAAATGATAGGTAACAGTCTTGATTTATAAAAGTGTGTACTAAGCAATAAAAATAAATAAAAAATACAGACCCCATCTTCAGGTGTCCAGTACATGCTTAATCTTTGTTTGCACACTGCCACAGACCAAAGTGACTGTGCAAACTGATCATCCTTGCATATCAAGACTGGAATACTCTGTGACAGGCCAGGGTATTCCAAAAGGTGCAGGCCTGGTATACTTGAGGGGAAATTTAAATGGAAAGGTTCATTGCAAAAAATGCAGATTATTGTTCCCTTTAATGAAAGGGAGTGCATTTCCTGCTGCTGGGCACAGTGCCAGGTTAATAGGGAACATAGGTTTATTAAGAAATGAATTCCCACATAAGGAAAGGGGAAAATAGTATAAGAAACTCTCTTTAAGCTGCCCAGTTTTCCCCAGATGTAATCATTTGTACTGGTGGCTTCAGGAGATAAAGGTCCATGAAAGCAGTCCATTAACTAGTTATTTAAAAGACCTACTTATGTGTGCACGTAGAACTAAACAATGGATTTGCTAAGCAGGGGACTACAACTCCCATCAGTCCACTCGACACTGGCCAGTCAAGGGGAAAGGCCCTGAATCAGGAAGTGGCCAGGCTCTTTTGCATTGCAACCCAGGAGCTGCAGAGAAGCTGGGTGCAGAGAGCAATCCCCAGGAATGGTTGCAGAGCTGTGATTCTTTCATTGTTTAGCCACAGTGAAGTAACACTGGGCCCGAGAAAGTAAGTGTGACAATGACACTGTAGCCTGCTGGTTTGAGCCCTCACTGGGGAAGTGGGAGATCCAGTCTCCCTGCGCCAATGCATTTTTAATGTATTTATCCGCCGTGGAACAGCTTCAATGGGACAAATTGAGGAAGCCTCAGATGAGCCTATTTTATAGCCCAGTAGTTATAGGTACTGCTCAGTACTGGAGTACACCCAGGATTAGAGTCACAAAAGGACTCAGATGCCAATTGTCACTTTAGGCGCCTAAATCCCTTCTATATCCCTATATATACATTATGGATTATATTTATATAATCAGCCACCTGCTTATATAAATCTGTATAGATTCATTCTTATGACTGAAGCTTCAGGTTTCTCTCTGAGTATTTGATACCTGCATATGGATGGGCAGAAAAATACAGACAGTGAAGAGTGTGTGATACATTTATGCCTTATTTCACGAAGAAACCAGTACAACTGATGGAGCTACAAATGAGTTATGACATTCTTAACATGTACTACTAAGTGGGGGTCATACCCACTTCATTTCTTTTCAGACTGGGGCAGTGGTGAAGTGGATAGGGATTCAGCACAAATGGAAGTATCACTGCACTATATTTATTATCCAGGGAGCGCTAGTGACAGCTATAGATGAGGCTGTGTACACTCTCATTTTAGCCCTTTTCTTTTCAGTCATTCAGAATGTTCTGAAACTTGAATCTTTCAGGATGAAACTCCCTAGGTTTGGTCTCTGGCCCAGGATAAATTCTTATAGGTAAGTTGTACCTGGGCCTTACCCAGGTGTGCTCTGGAGACACGGTGCAAGAGCGCCATTTCAAAACCCAGGTAAGGATTGGACACAGCTGCAGTTTCTGCATTCAAGGGAACACACGGACTGTTCCCTCACTCCTCGCTGTTCTGCGGCATGGGTGGGAGAGGAGAGCATGCTGCATCCCACAAAAGGGTAGCAGCCGGCACTTTTCTTGTATCTCCTGGAGCTCCTGTGGGCCAGTGTGGCTCTGTATTGCCCGCAGTGCTCGGCTGTGCTGAAAGGTACAGTTGATCCCTTTGGAAACTTAGAAAAAGGATGGTTCAGCTGCATCTGAGTACAAGGAGAGTGAAAGAAAAATACTTTCCCCTTATTAAAAGAAATCCTTGCAACTTATTTTCAAAATGGTTTGGGACAGAAAGCTGTAATCTGGCACAGAGATAACTCCTTCATTGTCCTGGTAGAAATCTGTAGGGCTTTGTCTGAGCTGAGAAGAATCACACTTTGCCCCAGAGCAGTGCGATGGGTTCAGTATTTAATGACTTTTTACAAGCTTTCCCCTCAGTCCACACACAAGGCGTCTGCTCAGGCTGTCTGGCTTGCCTGTCACTCCAATCTCATCTTCCCCCATGTTGAATTCCTCCACTAGCTCCCCCATGTTTTGTTGCATCAAGTTCAGGTTTCTTTTTCTGACTTCTATGGGCCACTCACAAATCTGCCCATCCTTATTTGCCCTTCTCATCTGTCACATTGCCTTATGCCTTGTCTGCCACCAGTGACAGCCTTGTTTGCTCATATCGGTTTCTCACACACATGGCTCTGTGCCTTCTTCCACGCTGCCCCTTAAACATAGACAATGCTCCCTGCACTGATCTGTAAGGTTACTACTCTCTCCTACAGCACTGCCACCTCTGCCATGACACGCTGAGGACAGATGGGACTGGCTGGCACTTAAACTGAGCTATAGTCATCCAAAAAGAACCAACATATATTTGACTATATCTTTCTCCTCTTATGCTTCATATGTCACTTTCCTTCTTAGATTGTAAACTTTTCAGGGTAGAGCCAAGTCTTGGTATGTGATTGTGCAGGAGCATAGCACAATGGAACTTCATCCTGATTGGGTGCATAAAGTTTTCCATGACTTAAAAACATTATGAGTCTGGTGCCTATAGTTCTCAGTGGCACAGAATATGTACTCAGTGAGACAAGGGCTCAGCTCTGCCTTTTAAGAAGAGATGATTCAAACATCTAGGAAGGGGTGATTCACTTCACTTAAGATGGGAATATTTAAAATAAAAGCAACAGAAAAGAGGGGAGGGTTTCTGGTTTCTTTTGGGCATTAAAACTGTTCTAGATTTCACCTTTGTTTTTCAAACTGTTTCCGGGAGGTAACCTGGGTCACCAATTCCTGCTCAATCTCCTCTCTACATGTGGGATTCAAAGCCTTCAGCTCATCCAGCTGCTTCCCTTAGCATCTCCTCTTCTCTTACCAGGTGGGGTAACTGTCCCATATGTGTCCAAGATCATCAAAAGGGCTTCAGGAAGAGCTGTAATCCCAGCTGACCGAGGTGCCGCAAACAGACAATTGGGTATAGATGTGGGTGTAGAGTGAGCTCCCATAGCTTCAGTGATCCTCTGTACCAGTATTCAGTTTGTTAGACTCAGGTGAATTCTGATTGAGTTTTGATGATCTGTTGCATGTGCAGTGTGTGGATTTTGGTTGCAGTTGGCATAGAATTTTCCTTCCAGATTCCATTAGGATTTTAGAAAAAATGAACTCTGTGGAGTTAAAATCTCCCTGTGGGGTTAATCAGCACATTTAAAGATACTGGGCTAGATCCTTGGCTTCTGTTGGTTTGATGGAACCACACCAATTTATGCCAATTGTGCATCAGGCCTACTTCTAGCTTTCCTTTGAAAGAGATGTCTCACTGCATGTGCTGAAATACTACAAGGAAAAGCCCATTAATGTAAGGAGAACATTACAAAAGTTTGTACTTACCAATGAAATAAATTTAGTATTCTATTCAACTATTTAAAAATCTGGATTGCTGAGGAGCAAAACCATTCATTCTTATTTCAGAAAAAGATTTCTTCTTGCCCTGCCATATATTTTCTGTGTGTTTTTGGCTATGACATGAATGAGAGTCCAGGGAAGTTCATAAAAATTAAAGTAGGTTCATGTGGAGCATGGTGCCCTCAATATTTCAGTGGCCAATTTTTCAGTACTGGCACAATAAATATAAGTCTTTAATGGCTTCTTACAACCATTCAGCTAAGCTGACATGATTTGTGTACTCTTGTTCAGTATGCTGTGTTGAGATTTTACTTCCTTAGAGTTTTCCTTTTGAGCTTCATCGTGATATAGTCATTGCCCTATAGCGTATGATGACAATTAGGTAGATTCACTAGCCTACTTCTCTCCTTCATCCTATGTGTATCGGGGTAACGATTAAAACAAGGCAGTCATACCAATTTAAAACTGGTGAATGTGAATGGAGGGCTAGGCTGTCTTTGTGTTTCACCTGTTCGTGATACCTATTCCAGATCTCAATGTGAGAATGTTTAACAGTGCAGGTTCTGTGTGACCAGTCTCTTTGTGTGCCTGACTCTGCCTGCACTCCCCTGAAGTCAATGGGAGGTTTGCCATTGATTTCAGTGACTGCAGCAATATGGCATTATCAACATTATCTACCGTTAGCTTTATCTCAGGGTTGTCAAAAAGGAAATAGAATTAAGTAACATTAAGGGCCATTTCTTCAACTGATGTAAATCAGTATAGCTCTTAGCCTTAGTGCTTTCTGTTAATGTCTATTTATCTACCACTCCCATCACCAGGGCCTTACAAATATATTATTGTTTTAATCAAGCTTCTCTCTCTCCCTTCCTTCCATTCCTCCACTGAGTAGGGAGTTGTTTCCCCCACCACACACCCCTGACCCTTTAAACTGTAATTCTGTTGAAGTTACTGCGGGATGGCTGGAAATAAGTTGGTTTTGCATTTTGTTCTGGAGCTTTGTGTTTATCCCAATCTCTTCAGGAAGCAAGTCCTATGTGTAGGCCAGTTGCTGAGCAAGCTCTGCCCCCTGCACATACAAGGTTTCCTCTTGAGATTGACATTTCCACCACCAGTGACCCCGTACCCTGGACTATGTTAGCAGAAGCCAAAGAGTGAATGAAACCTGTTACATATAAAAATGAACTGCAGCATGCCCTCACCAGGAATAGCTACTGCTTTTCACCATTCACTGATAAACCGCTGTGAGCAGTTTGTTGTTGCTCTTGAATTGTGTCTACAAATCTTTTGTAGTGAAACTTTTTTCTGTCAGGAAAACCAAATGCTTCCATTTTTTCCATTTGTTATTTCCAGGTCCAACAGATCTCAGTATGAAGAGGCAGTTAGCAACCAGCTCCGGATCCTCCAGTAGTACAAGCTCTAGACCTCAGCTGAGTCCAACTGAAATAAATGCAGTGCGGCAGCTTGTTGCAGGGTATCGAGAATCAGCAGCATTTTTATTGCGTTCTGCAGATGAACTGGAAAACCTTATTTTGCAGCAGAACTGAGTCACATGAGCTTTGTGCTGGCCTAGTCTTATCTCGGAGTTTCCACTAATGACATTTTGAGTTCCCAGAGCAGACGCTTCAGTTACTGCAGTCTTTTTAGGAGAGTTAATTACCATAATGCCACACTGTTCTTGATCCATAAAGTGATGTGTTAAGGTGCTTCAAGTGAACTTTGACCGCCGATAGTTCTGAGGTACTTTAATGTGTCCGGCCTATTGCTTTTTGTTTTAGTGTGTCAGCATAAATATAAAAAAAGTGGCTAGAGATTGTTAACTCGTTCTAACAAGTGGAGGAAAGAGACGATGCTGTGGTGGTAAAAATTGGTTCAAGATCCAAGTGCAATATTAGTGGAATGTGCTACTGACTCATTGGACTTAAAGCTGCAGTATATGGCAAAACGTTGCCAAAAGTCCTGTTGCCACAGGACACAATTGCAATGGAAAGGATCTTGTATTTTCAGAAATGTAATTTTTATAAAAACAAAACAGAAAAAACCTTTTGTTTTCATTCAAAATTTTTCATTTTTACTTTGGTAAACTTTTTCACTGGTCCTAAAAACGTTTTGAGGAGATATTGTAAGTCCCCCTCTTCCTCTCCAGAACCCCCTGACTCTGCCCTTCTCCCCAACTTCATATTCTTTCTACAACAAGTAACTCTCAATGCTGGATAACCCTTCCGTTGTGTACTGTAAATTGTCATCTCTGGAAGAACTTCGAAAGGAAGCATGCATTTCCTTACATTCATGCCATTCTCACCTCGATCCTGTAATATATTGCAGCATTATTATCAGTTAATAGAGATGAGGGGTTTTTTAAAAGACATATCATTTAAAAAAAATTGGTTTCTTACAGCTATCTCATTTAACTCCGTGATCGCTGCTGCTGTCTTGAACAAGTCCCTTGAGTAGCGATTGGATGTAGATGATTGAATGTTAAGAGGTTGCAAGTGACAATCTGAAAATTTGCACTCCTGTGTTTATTTATTTATTTATTTATTCCTTTAAACAAAATACTTACAGAAAAAAGGCCATTGACATTTCTGGAGTGATTTGTGTAATGCCCACACCTAGCTGAAAACTCTACAAAAACTATAAATGGATGCAGCTGCAACTTTAATTAAACTCTTCTCTCCTCTCCCCAATTTTTCCCATCCCCTATTTCTTCTTTTATAAGGTTGAATACACATTAATGGTGTTTTTTTGTGCACTAAGGCAAGCTTATTTTTGAATATATAGAGACAAGTACTTTTGTTCATGCTTACTGTACTATTTGTTCTGTTTAGCTTTTGTTGAATAACAAGTTCCTTGTGCATTCCTGAATTTGCCTTATTTCATGTACAAATTTTTATGTAATTCAGTTTTTGACAATGAGTTGAAGGCATCAGTGATATTTTATATCTACTTGTTACATATAGTTTTCCAAGTAATGACTGTGATTGTGACCCGGTAATGTGCACTTTTTCTTGTAATGTGGACATTGCTATGCTTTTTTCCCCTCTAGTGTTTCTAGAATTACTATTGCTTACAGTTATGTAAAGAAAACAAAAAAGAAAAAAAGAACTTTTGTGATACTGTTGGTGAATATTAATGTGAAAAAGGCTATGAAATATGAGTATTTTGGAGGTACATAGATACACAAACATCTATCTAAGTTGTGAACTAATGTTCACAAGTTTAAATGAAAATTCAAAAACTGAGGGCTGGAATGATTTCCTCTGTTTTGTTTGGGTAAATAAACAGATTTCTGTGTTTAACGATTGTGAAACATTATAACGTTTAAACAAACATAGTGTCTAATCAGTTATCAGCATTGCCCTTTTTAAACAGGAAAAGGGAACTTCCATGCCAGCTGTTGGAGTTGCCACAACTCAGTTCTCAAAAACATTGAGTAAATCCATTTGGATGATTCAAGCTAGAGGTTTGTTCTAATGAAGAATTTCTTCAATAAGAGCAGAAGCAGGCGGTGCGTAAATCATGAGGTCCAAGTCACTAATGCTTCACAATTTAAACCTGGCTTGAGGCAACAAAATCTAACTGGTAAAATTTATTCTTCAAAAAATCTATCAAGTGTCCTTTAAAAGCACTTGCCATTGACTCTGTGAATATTGTAGCAAGTTCTTGTTAATTGCTGCCCATTATTTAATAGATGTATTTTCTCCTACTGTAATTAACACCGTGTTCTCGCCCTTTTCTTCAAAAATGTTCTGTGGCTCTGCTTTCCAGTGGAGAGAATGTGGTGTTCCTCTCCTCTGGTGTCTGTCAGGAATTGAAGGACCAATCAGGAGCAAGAGATTTGATGTTAGCCCCTTATGTTTTCAGGCAATATCTGCAGACTCCTCTGCATCTTCCTGCCTCAAAGTGAGGGAGGTCGCAAGTGACTCTTCCTGAGGTAACATCTTTAGTCTTCTACTAAATGGAGCCATGGAAGAGCACAGCTAATGCAGGCTTTTCACTCTCCATATAGAAGGAGTTTGTAATGGTGCCAGGACTGCAGTTTCCCTAGTCTTCTTTTGCAGGGCTGATGTGCTTCAAATGTTCAGCTAAGCAGCAACTTAGCAGTGTGTCCACCCAGCTGTTTGCCAGCTGGAATGCACCAAAAACTGCAGGGCTCACCATGCTAAAGCCAGAGGTCGACTGGATGCCAGGGACAGCTGAGAAAAAGAGGAGGTAAGGGATTTACTTTATAACCCCCTTCCCCAGTCACTCTTTTTAATTTTATTTTATATTATTTTTTGAGGGAGAAGCAAAAAATCTTGGCACTATTGTGTGGCTCAGTGGAGCCTTCAAGGCCTTCCTGCTCTCTCCCCTTTGAAGGGCATAGGCCTCTCTCCCACCCTCCATCCCTCATAGACACTCACCAAACATGCCCGCCACCACAGATCCCCTTCTCCAGGCTCCCTCCTCAGGAAGCTCGAGGGATCTTTTTCAGACTCATTACATGCTGGAATCAAATCCTTCAGTTACTTAGAGCTCAAGTCCCTATCCCTCTTTAAAAGCCTCCAGACTTACACCCATTTCTTTTGAGGGACAGCTTGTCTCCCATATGACCTAAATTCTGAGTTGTTTCCCCGAAATTTCACTACGATCATATCAGTGATGGTGATGGCCTTCAGGAAGGAGCACATTTTTATTCCTTACCTGGAAACTAACTCATCTGGGCTAAGTCCCAGCAGGATTCACTCTGAGTGTTCTCTCATTCTCCTACAGTGGTTTTAGCCCCTACAGGTGAACTTAGAGAAAAGCTCACCCATTCTTTTACAAAAACATATGCCTCTTGGAACAGTCATACACTCACCTACAGATTTAGCCTTCCTCTTTCACAAAAGAATCCTGAAACAATAAGCCACCATCTGGGAGTGCCAATCAAGTTATCATTCACCATCCAATTCTGCATGTGAATAATGGGTAAACAAGTATCTTGCTAGAATCTGGTTCCCTGGGCTCAGTACCACTCTCAGACACATCTTGTCCCTGAAAACCTTGCACTTCCTGAGGAAACAGAACCTCCAGTCTACCTGGTTAAATAGCTCTTTCTTCATCTGGGTTATTGGCCACTTCACAGGAAACTCATTCCGAATCTTGTTTCCCCTTTTCCCTGAATCTTTTTGAATTCCAGTCTCACCACCCTATATCCAGATATTGCAGTGGGTACTCTGACCTGAAACCCTGTGCTCAGCATGTCTTTCCAGTCCTCAGGACAAAGGAGTTTGTCAAACACATTTGCCCTCTTCCCACAGATCTGGAAGGTTGTAAAAGCACAGAGCAATGGGTGCCGGATGATCTGAATTACTGTAGAGTGCTGAGAAGCATCTAGTTTATTGACCTTCTGCAGCTCTGAGAGATGATCCAACTGCTCCCTGACAGACCTGATCCCTTTCATCAAAACCCCATCCACCACCCATCTCTCTTTCTCTCAGCATCCTCCCCAAAAGCCAGGCGTCCACCATGCTCTTACACACTTGTTTAAAGTAAATAAATAACCAGCTCAAGTCAATAAAGAACATGGGCTGTCTGCTGTCTGCCTGGTGTGGGTCGCACCAAACGTAGGCCAAGAAGGCCTCCTTCCCAGATAGCCTGGAAATTCCCCTGGGTGGCTTCTGCAGTTCTAAGCTTTGGCTCTTACTGTTTCATGGGCTTTGTTTGTGGGCACCTGATAAGCCACAGAAAATCAATTAGCAGGTAAGAAAATGTGTCTATTGTATTTAGACTCTTTGTCAGAGGTTCAAAGACTGAAACCATCACTACCTGCCCACCATGTCTGGAGAACTTTCTGAATGAGAGCTAGTAGACTAGGATCTACTTGCTCGCCTGTGGCGGGAAAAGGAAAAATACCTTCCAGCCCACAAAATGGAAAAAATTATGATGGTTGAGCTCTCCTCAGGATGTTCCCACAATTCTAAACACCACCCCAATCCCAGGGGAGCCATATGGTTTTGCTATAAGGATCAGTGACATTGTTGATGACTGTTTAAACAAAACATTGTTATTAGGCTTCAGTGTCAGGGCTCCATTGAAAAGAAGGAGCAATTGACTCCTCTGAGATGGTGGTACTGTCTGCAGCTCCGGTAATATTTCACTGCAGTCTTCTTTGGAAGGTTAACCTGGCAATCACAAGGGAAAGAAACTTTTTGTTAAATGAAAGCTGACGTTCTACAGAAGCTGTTGGGCCCGGCAGAGAATTCCAACCCCTGAGTCCAGAAGAACCAAGTTAATAAAACATAAAACAATACTACTAATAAGAAGTAGGTGGTGGCACAGTTCAACCACATGGTGGTGGTTATTATTTATATTGAACTAGACCTGAAATGTCCCATTGTGCTAGGTACTGTGCAAACACATAGTAAGAGACAACCTGCCCCAGAGAGTTAACAATATAGATGGACACAACAAAAGGTGGAAGGAGAAAACAAAGGCACAGAGAGGTGGCTGAACCCAGAAGAGAAGCCAGGCCTTTTGACTCTTAATCCAGTGTCCTATCCACTCATCCACGCTGCCCTGTGCAAGGTCTGGTATGTAAAGTCCTGGGGTCCAATTCTCTGTTCCAGCTTAGCTTCCTTGGTAGCAGGAACAAAAATAGCAGGGGAGGAGGATGAAGAGGTGGTTTTGAGCTCTGTGCTGCCCAAAAAATCTCTTGAGTCCCCTTTTCCCCACTGGAGCAGAAAAGGGCCTGGGAGCAATGAAGAATTGGTCTCCTGTGAGTAAAGGGTTTAAAGTATAATACATAATTTAGTTAATTTCCTTCAGTGTGGAGAGAGATCTTTATGTCAGCATTTTTCATCCCTGTTCCCAGTAATAAATGTCTGGAAACAAACTTGAAAGGGCTCCTAATAATTGTGAATGTATGTAATTCATCTTGTAATTCCATCTTTGCTTTGGTACTCTGTTTATCTATGTTAGTAAAATGATGCTGTAAAGAAAATTGAGGGACGGTTACAATATATCAACTGCGTGTAGGTGCATCACTTGAATCTTTTTCTGAGACTCCGAGCAACCACATAAGCAGCAGGGATGTGGATTACAGCGGTAAATTAAAAGGATGCTGTCAAAGTGCTTTCAAGATTTTAAAAATCATTTTTGATTGAAGTTGTTTACAATATCCCCATGGAAGCTTAAAACTGGTTATTTTTTCCTCCGTCCCACATGCCTGCTGGTTTATTATTGTAGGGTTGCTTGTGAAATCTTAGATGCTGGCATTTCTTTAGAATTAGAAGCAAGAGCACTGAAGCCACTTGTTTTAGGGGAAAACACATTGGAAACATAGAGGGGGGGAAATAGAAGGAGAGATTTTTGATCCATCAACTTTATTTATTTACTTACTTTTCATTACAAAATCTGAGAAGTGTAAAACCACGATCCTGACCTACTTATTTACTCTCATCTTCCATAAAAGGGAGGGTAGGGTTTGAAGTATGGAAGAGCAGCTTCCAGCTGAGAGAAGCCCCTGCTGGCTTAGCCAGCAAGCAGCTGTACTTTAGTTCATTCGCTGGCTCTGCTACCTGCAAAGTGAAAACCACAAGGTTCTGAGTTCATGGCTTAGTTGCAATACTGTCCGGGTCACTCACTCAGTAAGTGCAATCAGCCTAGGGGTTTGGCATGTGGCTTTTTTTTATTATTATTAAGGGTTTCTTATTAATTTTTACTTTTCAATAAAACATCACAATACAAAAAGCAAACACAAATGAAAATGATAAACTCACAGTAAGCATATAGAATTGTCAGCATAGCCATGATATATCATGCAAAACAATTTTTACAATCTTAATATTAAACCATAAAAATCAAATAAATCAAAACTTTACAATTAATGGGAGGAAATCAGAGGCAAGGCAGGGAGGGGAAGTGTGAAACCCAGGCTGGGAGGTGGAAAAGGAAAGAGGTCTGGAATGGCCACTGGGCTCCAGGTTGTTCCTTAGTCAAATGTTTCTAAAACTGGAGCCCAGATTTCTTCTAACTCATGTAGTTGCTCCCTGTGGCAGAGGGTGGCTCTTATTTGGTCACTAGGTCAGAAAGGTCTGAAAACCATTGTTTTATTCTGTGCATTGATTTACTTCTGTAAAATCGTTCACTTCATGATCATGGCTGCTCTCGAAACTGCAAATGCCCAAATTCATGGGTAAATAACCTAACACATTATTCTTGAGTGATGTGTGCTTGCTAAAGCCCCAAATCATTTTAATTCTATTGTCAACTTTCCACAGATGTTTAACTAGAGGACGTTCCCACAACAGCTGGAGAAGGGTGCTCTTATCTGTCC